CAAGTCAGAATTTAACAAAACAATCAGCAAAATTTATTTGGTATCAATTTTTTATTAATATTCTACTACAGTTGAAACAGACAAACTCAGCCAAATTAGACATGTTAACTACTGTCGATCGATTTGTGCAGAAGAGCCTCACCAATTAAAACATATAGATGATTTTGAAGAAACTTACAGTGCTCATCAAGGCTTTTGGTGGTACGCACAAGAGTGGTTCCTCTACCGTTTGTTAAATAGATCGCTTCGGTCAGAAGATATTAATCACATATTTAAATTTCGTTTTATAATCAAGGATTTACACTATGAATTAACTCAATTATATGCCAATCAGCGAAGCGATAAAACGGAAGATAGTTTCCGCGAATGTACTGTTTACAGAGGACAACGTATGTATTTAAATGAGTTTGAAGAAATAAAAGGCAATATTGGTGGTCTTATATCAATGAACTCGTTTTTATCAACAAGTAAGCACCGTCGGCTTGCTGAAATGTTTACTGGCCCTGGTTCAGAGGATAGTTTATGCAGAAGAATTCTTTTTGAAATAGTCATTAATCCACGTCTTTGTGAATTGCCTTGTTTTGGTGACATTAGTGAACTTAGCTCGTTTCCCTCCGAGCAAGAAGTATTATTTTTTCCGGGATCTATTTTTCGAATCGAGTCAGTAAAAGACCTATCGGATAACATGCAACATATTCAATTAACACTTATTGATAAAGAGAACCAACAATATAAATTATTAACACAATATTGGAATACATGTATTGGAGAACGAAGTATATTACGGGAAACTCGTGAAAATCAATTATTTGTCCGTGATTTAACTATTGATAGTGCACAATTTCTCGGATTTCAGTTGCTTATGGATATGATACTTCGGTTGGATCAAACATACACTGTTAAGCAAGAAATGCTTGAAGCATGTCAGTTGAGATATAAAAATGATTCATATAGTTTACGAGAAATTAATGAATTTGAACGAACATATAAGTCGGAAGATGCTGTAACATGGTATACACGCGATGGGTTTCTCCATCGGCTCTTGAACGAATCATTACGCATGGAAAATATTGATTTGATATTCAAACTAAGATATTTTATTTATGATTTACACAATCAAATAAATGAATTATATTATAATGCACGATCGTCTTCTACAACCAAAGATCAACGACTACTCACATTGTATCGAGGCCAGACTATGTCAATTAAAGATCTGGAAGATTTACGACAGAACATTAACTGTCTCGTTTCAATGAATTCATTTCTATCAACGACCAATGACCGTGAAGCTGCAATATTTTTTAGTGGTGATGGTATCACACCTGATATAAGTCATGTTTCTGTTCTGTATGAAATTGAGATTGATACAACAATCGAATCAACAACACCGTACGCAAAAGTTGATTATCAGTCAATATTTAGAGATGAAAGTGAGGTTTTATTTACAATGGGCAGTGTTTTTCGTATTCGGCTCGTTCAGGAGATCAAAGAACGCTTGTGGAATGTGACATTGACATTGACAAATAAACACGATGAAAACTGGAGTAAATTAACTGAACATTTAGATTAAACAGCTTTTTTGTTTTCATTTTTTCTAGCATTTACAGTGCTGGCCAAAAGTGTCCATCCTCTGGATCTCAGTCATGATAAGAGCTGGAGGTTAGAACATTTTTTTGAACATATTCCCTCAGAATGTAGTCAAAGGAATTACCCTACATAATTGAATATCAAATCAATATTCTGTATGTGTAAGGATTCGTTGAGGAGTCGGTGAAAAAAAACTTGTTTCTATTAGGAACAAACTAGCCAGCTGTAGATTACTTGTCTTCGAATGTTAATTTTCTTTTCGATGGTACCTTTTGTCGGCTTCACGACGACTGTTTGTCCATATCCAGTCGTTTCAGACATTGTCCACTCCATTACATTCCAAAAAGTATTTATTGAAAAATAACCAATTTTTTGTATCGTCTTTCGAAAATTATCCAATTATTTTCTATGTTAAACATTTCAGATCGTGATGTAATATTCGAGGAACACTTCTCACAGATACATACAGCTCTTTTGCCGGTGTTTTAATTGGTCATATGTTCGTTCTTTTTTTACTCAACTTTTCTTTCGTGATATTCTCTTTGTCTTTGCGATCTGGGAGCTTCAGCAGATTAATATTATCAGTATCCCGAATCAATCGAAGCCACCATTTAATTTGTGTTAATCAAATGGCAGCATTCAAATCCCGAAAAAGTTTCGTCGATCCATTACAGTTTTCAAATTTTATTTTTACGATATTTTGTAGATCTTTGTGTAGCATTTTTTTAAAAATTTTAACTAAAACAATGGTATAATATAATATGCATAATTTGTATTGAGTTGAACGGGAAATCTAATGAAAAGATATCATCTCAAGTGGATGTAAAGGACAGAAGAAAATGGGAAAATACTGCGAGGTCGGTTTCCTCTGTTTCACCCGTTACTATCGTCAGAGAACCATCATTAAATTCATCGGTTAAGACTGATTTAAAATAGGACAGTGTTGAAGTACTTTCACGCAGCCTTTCACTGCATGCCGTATTTGTGTATCAGTGGATAGCTCCAAGTACAACTAATATCTTTTCACCATATCCGAATAAATATTCTTCAAGACAAACTCTTGATATGTGTGAACTTGATGTAGTTTCCTCTCGAAGAGTGGGCATTTGAATAATAACATCTATGATTTTAGGAAATGATGCTGACAGATTCTGCCAAACAATCTCGCTTTTATCGATTACTTCTTGTACTTTCGTCTCTTTAGCAGAGACTTATCTTGGTTTTTATTTCCGTAGGGTCAAATCAAAGTTTTGGAGGAGCTACTGACTTGAACATATTTTTCAAGATTGTAAGACTAGAGGTAAAAGCCATCATGTTAAGATTGGATTTTTCTTTGTTTTCAGAATAGGTGTTTTGCATAATCACACAATACTTAAAAGAAGTGTATAGAGAAAAAAAGTGCGAATGTCTTGTTTAATAACAAACAGAAAGTTTTCTTGGTTTTATACGTTTCCAGTTTTTAATTATTGAATTTTTTAAATCATCATTGAAGCAAGGAAGTGTGCAGACAAAATCAAAGTGGAATGAAAGCACATTCTTTTCCATTGTATTCTTTCCTTTAG